GGGGGGGGGGGGGGCGGGGGCTGCTATTGTCTGCGAGAATTTGGGAGCCTTTGAAAAAACCCTCCCGCTCCCTCCCACCCCTATTGTTGGAGTGAAGATGGAGTCAAACCTCTCTCGGCTCCCTCCCGGCGGGGTCTAAGCTGGGTTTTTTGTTGGTTTTTTTTTTTTTCCTCTCTTTTTTTTTTTTTCCCCTTTTTTTTTGGCTGGCCTGATACCCTCAAAGCTGGCCGAGGAGGAGGAGGGAGGAGGCGGTAACAGCCACAACTCGGAATTTGCAAGCGAGTGTCGGGATGGGGTCTGTTTCCAACCAGCAGTTTGCAGGTTAAGTTATATTATTGTCGCAGCCCGCCTCGGCTCCGCGATTATTAATAACGACGGCAGAGCCCGGCTGGGGGGCGCAGGGACCCCCCCGAGCCCGGCCCACCCAGCCCTGCTGAGCCCCGGCAGCGCGGCCGGGCCCGCCGGGCCCCTCTGCCCCGCGCAGCGCTGGGGGGCTCGCAGGGGGGGATTTATCGGGGGGTTTTTATCCCCCCTCCAGCCCCAGGATGAGCCCAGAAGTTTGGGGCCGGTGGCGGCTGCTGGGGGTGTTTGGGAGCGGGGGTGGGACGGTGCAAGGGGGGGATGCTGACGGGCAAGGGAGAGTTTCTCCAGCATGGCTCGCTGGGGGCAGGGGAGTTTCGGGTTGGGTATTTTGGGGGAGTTTTTCCCCTTTTTCTAAATTTTTGTTTTGATATCTTGATTTGAGAAAAAATAATTTGGCTGTTTTTTCGTTGCTCGTTTGGTCTTTGTGTGTGTTTGTGTCTGGGTTTTTTTAATTTTTTTTTTTTTTTCGTTTTTAACGTTTTTGAGGGAGAAACGGATTTCGGGCTCCCACTCCACGCACTGCCCGGGTGGTGCTGGCAGGAGCTGCCTTCGTTTCCTGGGGTGATCCCCATGCACACGTGGAGGCAGAGCTCACCTCTCTGTTAATTTTTTTGGGGGTTGGGGATTTTTTGGGCATTTTCCAGCCCAGGATTTGAGGTGCGGGCAGCCCGGCTGGGTGCGGGGCGGCTGGGCCGGGGGGCACCCGCTGCTCCCCCAGCCCCCGGCTCAGCGGCTCCGTGGGTCTCTCGCCAGGTGCGAAGCCGGGCGAGGAGCCGGCCGGAGACTCGCCCAAGGCCGAGAACGAGTCCCAGCCCCTGCACGGCTCCGGCATCTGTAAATGGTTCAACGTCCGCATGGGCTTCGGCTTCCTCTCCATGACCGCCAAGGGCGGCGCGACCCTGGACTCCCCCGTCGATGTCTTCGTGCACCAGGTACGGGCCCGGAGCCGCGTGGGGAGCTGGGGAGGGGAGGGCTGCACCCTCCGGAGGGTGAGGGAGGGATGGGGACCCCCCTGGCGCCCCCAGGAGCGGCCGTGGCTCCCCCGGTCCCCGGGAGGGTGGAAGGGCAGGCACCGCCGCGGCCGGGGCTGCTCTCCGGGGACCGGCCCTGTAAGCTGATCCCGAGCGATTTCATTTTCCCGTGGTTGCTGCCCGAGGAGCCCCTCGGGGCCGGGGCGGGGGAGCAGGTGCCCGCGGAGCCGGGCGGGATGCGCCGCTCACCCCGCGGAGGGACGCGGGGAGCGGGCGGGGTAACCCCGGCAGCCGCTCCCGGGAGCCCCGAGCCGGGCTGGGATGCGGCACCGGGAGTTTGCCGCTGGAGCTCATCCCGGGACCGGGCATCTCTGCCCGCTCCCTTTGTCCCGGTGGCACAAAGGCGTCGGGTTCGTGTCCCTGCGGATCCTGTGTGACAGTGACAGTCCCGTGCCCGATCTGACCTTGCCCCACGCGTGTCGGGGACCCTGCGCCGAGAGAAGTCGTGGATTGGGGGCTGAAGTTCCTTGAGCGCCCCGGATCTCGGATCTGCCGGGAGACACCCCCGGGGGCTGGGGGAAGGGGTTTGGAGATGGTGCCCAAAGCGGGGCCAGCGCTGGGAGGGGAGGTGGGGCTCAGCCCCGGCTCGCGTGGACGGAGCTCTGTGTGGTGCCCCTCACCTCGGGACAGCCGCTGCCGTGGGGCTGGGGGGGGGGCAGAGTGGCATGAATGAAGGGGCACGGGTGTTTTTGGAGTGAACACGGGGGGTTTGCGCGCGTGATCGAGAGCAGCACCGTGGTGCTGGCTCCGGGGACTCCCCGGACCAGCCTTCAGCGGCTGCTGCTCTTCACGGGCCCAAAGCCCCCCAAGCCGGGTCCTTCCTGCGGGCTGGGGGTGCAGGACTGAGCCCCCGGGCTGTGAGGAGCTCCTGGAGCAGGGGCTGCTGGGGGTCGCTCACTCCCTGCCCACGAGTGGAGGCTGCAGGCAGGACTGGCAACCTGGCGAGCAAACGCTGCCCAGGGGAGATGCAAATCCCTTCTCCCTTGGCTGTGGCACGGGCAAACGCCTTGGTAGGAGCTACTGTCCCAGGCACAGCTGGTTTTGGAGTCAAGGGCTCCAAATCAGCCGGGGAAAAACAGATCTTGGTGTTCTCCAGAGAGCAAATGGGCCTTTGCATCTCAATGTAGCACAGCGGGACCCAGCGCTCCTGGGGAGAACCTCCCGCCCTTCTCCTGAGGCTTTATTGCCCCCAGACAGTCTGGTTTCCTGATTGCTCCTGCTCACATTCCTGCAGGGGAAGGGAATTAGCTGGGGTGTCTCTGTCGGGTGTATCCCACTGCCAGGACAGACCTGCAGCCTCCCGGTGCCCCCCAATTTCCATGGTCGGGGGAGCCGTGGGGTCCCCGAGATCGCGGCGTTTGGGAAGTACAGGGAACTCAGGGGAACAGCGGCTGATTTGGGGCAGCAGAGGGGCCGGGGTTCTCCTGCCGCACCAAAGGGCTTTGCACCCCCAGAAGCTTTGGGTTGATGGAGAATTCTTCTCCTCCCGGTCGGGTTTCGCCTCCTGCTCCGCTCACCGGTGGCACAAAATCTCTGCTGTCCTGCAGAAACAGCCGGAGGTGCTCCCGGTGTCTCTCCCGCTGCAGAGCATCCCTCCTTGGAGAGGGAGCAGCTCTCTCTGTTTTTGCAGGGCAAATGAATCCTTGTCCAGGTGCTGTCCCAATCCCGAGCATCCGGGTGCTCCCCAAGAGCCCGTGTTGACTCCGCTCCCAGGGAGGGGGTCCGGGCTGCGAGGGCAAAAGCCACCAAAAGCCACCAAAAGCCAGGGGGGGCAACGCTCAGGGCTCGGTGTGCTCAGCTCCCCGAACCAGCTTTGGGGCTTAAGCCTCCAGAGCCCCTCAAAACCCGCTCCTTCCCCTCTTCATTTACATATGTGAATGATGACCCACAGGAAGTAATTGTGGGAGAAAGAAGGGAATTGGCCTCTTTAGATCTATTAAATCACTTTATTACAGGAACCAGGTCTGAATGGCCCCTCTCTGCAGGGAGCGCGTCTCCATCTCCCTCTGCCTTTATCTGATCACAAAGAGATTAAAATCTCGGCAGGACAGGGGACTAACAGGGCTCCTTGGGGCTGCCTTTCCCTCGCATTGTGAGCTAAAAATGAGGCATTTGGGTTCAAATGCCTCCCCTGGACACTGGAGATAGATTCATTTGGGGGCTCTGAGGAGACAGGAGGGATGAAGCAGAGGGGAGCAGAGCAGATCGTCCCGGGGAGGAGAAGGGCTGAGCAGCACCCCTGAGGAATTTGGGATCTTGAGGTGGCAGAAATTGGGTTGGTGATGGTGAAGACCCCAAAGGTGCAGTGTGGTCCCCTCGGGATGCGGTTCCCGGGCTCTGAGCATCACTCACAGGAGTGTGGAGCTGCCTGGGAAGGCAACTTAGAACGAGGGAAAGGAGAAAATCCAGGCTCGGTGCCACTGGTTGGAGCTGGAGGAGCAGTGCTGACCAGCAGGGCTGGGATTTGGGGTTGGGGTCTGGCTGAGAGCAGAGGGGAAGGAGAGGTCCGGTGCCTGGAAATCGCTGCTCCCCACAGCTTGGCTCTGCATTTCCAAGCGTTTCTCCAAGCCAGCAGCTCTAAATCCTTGATAAACGCAGTTAGTGCGGTTTTTTTCTCTCCTTCTCATGATTTTAGCAAGAAACTCTGCCGGGCACCGTGGCTGCTGTGGCATCAGTGTTCCATCAGGTCCGTGTGGGACATGAAGCCGCGATTAGCCCTGCTGGAGCCGGGATGAGGCACTCCCGGCTTTCCCCAGTGTCCCGGGCAGTGCGGGGCTGGGTGGGCACATCCCGGCACGGGAGGGGCTTCAGCCCCCCGGGACCGCCTGGGGGTCGGGGCCGGCGGAGCGGCTCCATCCCCATGAGGGGGTGGAAGTGGCCGTTTTGGGGTTTTGGCTGAGCTGGGCTGTTCACCCCACCTGTGCCAGCCCGTGCGTGCTGCCAGGGTAACAGAAATAATCATCCGTGTGAGCATGACGTGAGTCTTTAAAAACAAACCCGTGTTTGGAGGCAGCTCCATCCCAGACTGTGCAGGAAAAGCACAAGGGACAGTTTCTCTGTGCGGGAGCAGCGTCCAGCCTTTCCCTGCTGCCTTCCTCCCCCTGGGCTGGGGTGAGGGCTGGATCCCAGCGGGGTTTTGGGATGTGCAGGGCTGGGGAGGGGGAATCCGCTCGGAGCGGCTCTCTGGGGCAGTGGCTCGGAGCCGCGATGCTGCTGGAGGGACACGTGGAATTTCTGGATTTTCGTGCTTCCCCGCGTTTGCTCTGCAGGACCGGGGTCACCCCCAGCGCTGGGCGGGCACCCAGCGGAGCTGCGCATCCCTGGGGAAGCGGTGCTGGAATCAGAGATTAGTTTGGGTTGGAAGGGACCTCTAAAGGTCATTTAGTCCAACCCCCCTGCAAGGAGCAGGGAACCCCCGCAGAGATCCCCTGGGGTGGAAATGCTCCTTGGAATCTCTGCTTTTCTTGTTGCTTTTTGTTTTTTGGGTTTTTTTGGGGGGTGGGGAGAGGGGTTGTAGCATTTTTTTCGGTTTTGTTTATTTTGTGGGGTTATTTAAATAACCGCTGGAATTAAATTGTATTGCGCCGCTTGTGCGCCGCGTCCCGATGGGAAATAGTGAAAGAGAACGGTTTTATTCCATCCCTGAAACTCCCTCAAGACGCTCACACACACACACACAAAAAAAAGCCTCCTGTCTCTGTCTAAAGATTAACTGATGGCCGCAGGCACATCCCTTCCCCCAGCTCCCCCTCCCTGCCCCAGGGAGAGAAAACACCCTGGAATGGTCTCCTAGATAATATGGCCCAAATGAATGGGATTGCTCCCGGGATGGAGCCCCTGTCCCTGCCGCCCCCACTTCCAGCTCCGACGTTTCCTTCTCCCTATTCCCCCACTCAGGATAAGCGGGATGGAGCTGAAATCATCGTCGGAAGATGCGCGGCTGCTCCGGGCCGTGCTCCTGCTTTAAGACGGGAGCGCAAAATTAATACGCAGCCACTGATCCCAATTAGCCGCCCCTGGGAAGTGCGGGAGGGTTTTGGTGGGGAAAAAATACAACCAAAGGAGCTAAAAGGATTTAGGACAGGAAACTGATGGATTAAACTCCGTGGTAGATGCCTCTTTTTTTTTCTTCCCTCGGAATTGATATCTAGAGTTTAATTTTACCGGCTTGTGGTGGAAAATTAAGAGCAAACGTAGTTACTTTGGAGGGGAAATGCCTTAATTTTGATTTTTAGTTGAAATCGGTAGGGGTCCTTAGGGATATTGCAGCAGATGACGGTGAGGGAGCCAGGGGAAAGCCTTGGTAATGTTTTGTTAAATCCTCTGTGCTCTCCCCGAGGGCTCCAAAGGCATCGCCCTCTTTATCTCTGCAGCGACCCTCGGGGCTGAGGCAGGACCCCTTTCCCAGCACATCCCCCGTTCGTGCGGGCTCTGAGCTGCAGGAAGGGACCGGGGGGGTTCCTGCTCCAAACCCTTCACTCCTGAGCCAAAACCCAGCGCAGTCCCCGGAGCTTCTGGCACCGGGACAAGATTTGCTGTGTGATTTGGGGACAGGGAAGGGCTTTGCCTTTGGGGACAGGGACCGATCCAGGCACAGGCGGTGAAGGCAAAGGGACATTTCCCTGCTGTGGAAGCTTGGCTCCGTGCTGGCAGAGCCCAACCCTCCCGAAATCTCCTTCGGGGGCTGTTTGCCATGGAGCAGAGCCCAGCGGAGGGAGAGCTGCTCTGCCAGGGCTGGCCTGAGGCTGCCGCACCCCGCGGGATCGCGGTGGCCACAGGAGGAGCCGCTGGGCAAGTGTCAGCCCTGCCACCCCCTGACACCGCGGGCTTCTCTCACTGCCTGCCCTGAGCCGTGGGGCTGGGGCTGCTCCCTGGGATGGGCTCTGGAGATCGTGGTAGGGGGAGCCGGGGGTCCTGGGCGCTGCCCTGCGCCCCCCAAGGGTGGCTGATGCCCTGAAACCGGCAGGACGAGGGACCGGGGGCACTGCAGCTCTGGGGACAGAGGGGTGCAGCTGATGGGGGGTCTGGGGGCGGCTGAGCCAGAGCTCAGGGTACCCGCAGTGATGGGGGCATGGTCCCCCCGGGGGCTCAGCAATCCCTGCGCTGTTTTTCCTGACCCTCCTCTGCAGAGTGGGGGAAACTGAGGCACCGGCACTGCCTGCAGTGGGGCTGGCCTGCCCGAAATGCTCTGGGCAGGGCTCAGACGAACCCTTGGCACTGCAGCCGGCCTTATGCCAGCATCCCGGCTCGTTTTCCAAGGGATTTCAGTTTAAAGGGCTCCGGAGAGCCGAGGTGCAGCGGCTGCTCCGCCCCAGGCCCCGCTGGACACAAAGATGGTTTGATTGAGTGGCCGGGGCTGGCTGGGAATAAACGTCCCCTTGTGTCGCGCTGGGGAGGCCGCGGGGACAATGGTGACCCCGGGGCCGGCCGAGCCCCTCCGGAGCCCGGCGGGGTGGGGGGACAGCCGTGGGGGTTTGGGGCGCCCCGCGGTGTCATCCTTTCGGGACGGGAAACGGGTCCGAGCGTGGATTTGCTGGGAGGGAGGAAGAGGAGGGATGAAGGCTCCCACGTGCGGGGTGGGGGGGACACCCAGGGCCGGGGGGGTGGGCAGCGCTCACGTGCTGCGTCTTTGTCTGCCCTAAATAACCGGGGATGCGGGACGGGAGGGACAGCGAGGGTGGAGGAGGAGAGGTGCCCGCTGTGATGCCCGGGGTGAGGCTGAGCCAGCTCTGCTTCTGTCCCCTGTCCCACCCAGGGCTTAACTCTGGGCCCCGGTGACCACAAGGAAATCCTCGCCTTGGGCTACGCTTCTTTTGGGGTGGCAGCGCTCTGTGACCCCGAGCCCACCCTACACCCCCCGTAGCAAAACCATCCCCCCAGGATGACCCAAGGGAGCCGGAGCCCAAACGGCAGCAGCCAGCGGGCGAGCTGGGCACGGAGCTGGGGCGTGCAGGGGCTGGAGGGGGTCAGAGGGCCCGCGGCCATGCCGGCCACCCTTCCTCCCCCCGCCGGGGCCTGGAACTCCTGGAATTTGGGCAGCGGGAGCGCGGCCGCCGCCGGCCCTTTGTTCTCGCTGGCCGGTGGCTCCCGGCCCTGGCCCTCCCCTGCGCTCCCCCTCATCCCCAGCATCCCCGGCTCGCTCCAATCCCCCCCTTCCTCTCTTTATTTTTTGGGGGGGGGGGGGGGGGGGGGG